CCGGATCCGGCCCGCGGGCCGTAGTTTGCCCACGGCTGTCCTAGGCTGAAGAAACTGCAAGGAGACTAGTCGTTAAGGAGAGGAAGCCAGGCATTGCTACTTGCCATCATTACCCAGACGGACATTTAGCATATTAGCCTTTTATATATATAGATACAAGAGAATTATATTTTCCACAAAAGGTAAAGAAGCCCAGCCGGTGTTGCTTAGTGGTTAACTGTTGACCTATGAACCAGGAGGTCAAGGTTTGATTCCTTGTCAGGGCATCTGACTGAATTGGGAGCTCGATCCCCACTGTGGGGCATTGGGGGGGCGGGGAGCTGATCAATGATTCTCTTATCATTGATGTTTCTATCTCTCCCTCTCCCTTCCTTTCTAAAATCAATAAAAAATATTAAAAATTTTTTTTTAAAGCTAAAAGAAGGTGTTTGTTTTTTGTTGTTGTTGTTTTGTCAGTACTGACTCAGGAGGTGAAACAGGCTCCTGTGGAGACTCTGTGAATATCATTACCAGCATCAATCATCAATGACCCAGTGAGACCTGGAACTGTGGGTTCATACAGAATAAAAAGAACTTTTCCCCTAAAATCCCTTTATATGCATATGTTCCAAGGAGTTCTAAAAGCAATAATCTTACAAACAAAATATACAGAAGTTAAGTGATCAGAGACTACCTTGGACGGAATCATGGCAAGATTTAAATGATAACTAGCCCAGGTCCCCATCTTTCACAGGAATTTATGGCATATGGTCACTTAGGGCTCTTCATAAACACCCACATTGATGCAGGTCTCATGAATTCATAATATAGCCCACAGATGTTTGGAAAGCTCTGTTAGAAAGATCATCTTCTTTATTAAGATAAAGAGGCTTTATCCTTTAAAAAAAATATCCCATAGATCCATCTTAGTTTTGTCCTGTGGAGTGTTGCAGGATAGTCAGAATTCCTTTTCTTACCTGATAGCGTTCATGCCCTTACTTTTAGAAGTTAAGTCTTTCCACTGGATTTTATGGAAGTGAGCTACAATACCCAAATAATCCCCCTTCCTTTATTTTCTGGTCACATTCTTGCTGCTAGAGTTACATTCTGCCAAGGTCCATCTCAAAAGGTAGTGCTCAGAATAAATACAACATTAAAATGTGGTCATCACTGCAAACTCCAATAGGACAATCACCTCCCTCGTTAGCATACCATCATTAGTCAAATTTTAAAATGCATTAACTTTTGCAACAAATTTCTACCACAAATACCAAGCTTGTTGCCAACAAAACCATGGTCATTGATTATGTAGTGGATTTCCTGGACTCACACCAGAACTTTACACTTATATCTATTGCTATAAAATAGTATTGTGCCATCAAATATGTTAACACGAATCCCTATATTTGAGGCTTATGTCATCTTGAAAAATGCCAAAATGCTCTATTTGCCTTCCTTCCTAACTCATACTCCTTAGTTTCACAATTTGAGCAATGTTGACCTTCAAGTCACTGTTTACATTAGCCTTTCTCAAGTCATCATCTAATAATACTCAAGAATCTCCAATGAAAACATTTTCTTGTATGGCAATTTACATTGAAGAAATTTCACCTGAGACATCGTTTTTCACTTGTTTACTTTTAAAACTGGTTTTATAGAGAACATCTCCCTACGAGTGCGTCCTGACAGTTCATCTGGAAGTGAGACTAAGTGGTTGTTCAAAACACAGGCAATGATGTGCTCAATTCCATCTCTGAGGCAGGACGAACAATGTCACACCACCAGCAACCCTGTCCATGGATAAGAACATGCACATACACACACAGGGCACATGTGGAAAACAAAGGTACACTACTTTATTCTAGTTAGAGTTGTCCTCTTTACAAGAAACTTTTACCTCCCTCTTTCTTCCCTCTTTCAAGGCCGTATTTTCTTTCCAGCAAAGACAATTCATTAGTGAGAGTTCTGCAAGATCTCAGCCTCTATACGTCCCCATCACAGCCTTCCAGTTATCTGAAGCTCATCTATGTGGCAGGCCTGAGCTTCTCCATCCAGCCCCTCCTCAGATACACGACCCCGCCTCCCCCCAATCCGACGCCAGAGGAGGGTGCAACCACAGAGAACTTCCACTCCAACCGGGCAATCCCCGAGTAGAGTACATTCGGGTGACCGTTTCTCTCCTCCAGACACCCCAACGCTAGAACCCCTTCCTCGTGCCGCGCCTTCTCTGCGAGCCTGCTCCCTCGGGCCAGCTCGGGGTGCGCGCCCGGGTTAGTCAGTGCGCACGTGACGCGCGGTGCCCACATGACACGACCATGGGCGGGGGAGGGGGTCAGAGCGGCGAAGCAGGGAAAAAGTTCAGGAAGACCGGTCAAAGCGCCCAAAGCGGTCGGTCCCCTCTGTGCTTGGTCAAGTAGTGGCTCAGGGTTCCCCAGGGGACGGCTGCGGATCAAGGCACTTGACAAGCTCTAAAGAGGAACCAGGGAGAGCCAGCAGCAACAGCTCCTCGTTAGTATAGTGGTTAGTATCCCCGCCTGTCACGCGGGAGACCGGGGTTCAATTCCCCGACGGGGAGGTTGGAGCTTTTTACTAATTCCCTTTTCTCCCCTATTTTCCTTGTAATTCCAACAATATGCTAATTGTTTGGTAATTGTATCTTTCTAAATGACGATTTTTATCCCCTCCGCTCCCTATTTCCCTTGTAATTCAACTGCGCGACATTGCTGACAAATACAACAGACTCATTTTTTGTTAAATTTCTTTGTGTGTCTTTTCTAAATGATGACTTTTAAGCTTAAGTCTCACCATGAAATAAGTGCCTACACTGAGAGCAAACGCTTTATATTGTTGGCAAAGGAAGAAGAAAGGGGAGAAAACGCCCAGGCGGACCTCTGGGCTCGCTCCCAGCCGCTGGCTGGCAAAGGCGTGCGCGTGCGCAGTGGCGCCCCGCCAAATTACAACGGAGGAAGGTCACGACCTCGGCTCGCGGGCCCCGTAGGGGGGGGGGGGGGGGGGAGGGCGGATGTCGGGCGCAGTTCTCCTCTCTCCCCGCCACCTTCCGCTCCTCTCCGCCCAGCGGGTGATGCTGCTGCACCCTCAAGTTGCTCCTTCCTCCCCTTTCTCCCTCCTTTTTATGTCCCCTACTTTATTTCCTCCCTCCCTTCCTTCCTTTCTCCCTTCCCTCCCTTCCCTGAAAGCTCTCCATCCACTGCGGGCGCTGCCACTGACGCACATTGACTCCTCTCTCCCCGCCACCTTCCGCTCCTCTCCGCCCAGCGGGTGATGCTGCTGCACCCTCAAGTTGCTCCTTCCTCCCCTTTCTCCCTCCTTTTTATGTCCCCTACTTTATTTCCTCCCTCCCTTCCTTCCTTTCTCCCTTCCCTCCCTTCCCTGAAAGCTCTCCATCCACTGCGGGCGCTGCCACTGACGCACATTGAATTTGCCCCCGGAGCTTGCCCGCATCTCTGAGGTCAGACACCAGGCCGGGCACCTTCCACCGGGCGGCGTGTAACTGCGCAAACAAAGTTGTACGCGGCGCCGAAACCTGCCCTCGCTCCCTAGGCGCCCCCCCGTTCGAATCCTGCGCCAAGCTCCCCGGCTCACCCGGTGCAGCCTCGACCTCACCGCACACCCGGGCAACACAC